TTGTTTCCCCTATCTCCTCCAAGTAACCTTGAAGTTCACATATGCCACTTTTTACAGACCCCACAGGTAAAGTTTTGTGCATGTAAGCCTATATCAACATCTTTTTTCAGCAACAACACTCACAGAGTGAAGCGAATCAACTGCTACAGCCTACCCATACCACAAAAGAAGCCATAGGATCTGCCATGGTCATGAATCACAGGTTTAGAGGCTCAAATCACCCTGTTCTAAAGGAATTAATTATAGATATTACCCCTGCTTTGCAGCAATAACAAATATTATATCCTAAGTTCTTGGAAGTTCTGTTTAAGTAAAATTTTATATTATAGTATTTCACTACAAAATCTTTTGCATACTGTCATAAATCATTGAGCGGTGAAACAAGAGGAATAAAACAGGAACAGCAGTGTTAAGAACAAACCAGGCTTTTTCGAAAAAAAAGAAACAACCAAACCTAAAAACCACAGAGCATAAGAAAAGATTTTTATATGGCTTCCACATTACACCGTTCTCAGTACCAAGTCTCCAAAGCTCATTAAGACTGATAGGAAATGATACTGAGATCTGTATAAACATACACGTTGCACAAAGATTTACTGAGCTAAAACTCTAAAATGGGGTTTTAAACAGTGGCAATAGCACATTTATTTAAAATATCTATGATACCTAACACCACATGCCTGATCATTTCAAATATTTTAATCTTCATGAGACCCTTTTACTACAGGCCTGCTTGTATCAAAGGGGAACTGAGTCACAGATGTATCGGTGACTTGCTCTAAGTCACAAAGAAAGCCTGGTGCAAAGCAAAAAAATTCAATAGTTTTTTTCTTTTTCTAGCTTATTTGACAAGAGGAAGAACAGGATATAGAGAAGAAAACCAAGCAGGTGATTAAATTTAAGGGAAAAAGAGCTACAGAACAGTTTCTGGGTGTCCAGCTACCATACAAAAGTTCAAATGTAATTTAAAATAAAGCTATTTCCATGTATATATTAAATGTCAGCAAAATCAGACTTTTAAGATACAATCAACAAAAGCATATGAAAGAAGCTTGGTAATTAATTCACAACAATTATTTAAATGGCAGAGAATGACAACATCAAACCAAAATAATAATGTGTAAAAATATTCACTTCTACTCTTAGAACACTAGCAATTTATCTGTAATGTTACTACAGTTTATTTCTGAGTAATTACTGAACTTCTCAACTTGATAAGTAATTCAGCCTTCAAACTTACAATAAGCCCAAGGCTGCAATAATCCTTCAGAAACATACTGCTTCTCATGCCTTAGTACTTAATTGAAACAAAGCATTTTGTAGTGATCCCATTTTATTGATCCTGCTGCAAAGATAAATTAAGTTTATAAATAAATCTAAACTAAGCAAATATAACTAACTTGTTTAAATATAAGCCAAGAGAACACTGAAAAAAGTCCCAACCCACTACCTTTGTAAATAAATTAGTTACTGGGAGTTTTGATGCAACCTTCCGTTTTCAATTGAAGGAGTTAGTCTCACCAAATTGTACCTTAGGGGTGATATCTTAGCTCAAGTCAAATTAATGTGAAATTCCCCACTCAGGTCACTAAGGTTGACCTGTGCACCTACTAGATAGGCAGATCTGGTTCCAGACTGACTCACAACATTTCTACAATCTGTTTTCACACTACCTTACATCACTTGGTTGCCTCCATGTGTACCCTTACTGCAGGTTTATGCTGGTGATATGCTGTTCTGCAGCACACTCCATGAGCCCTTGGGCAAGAGTCAAATCACAAGTGTGATCTGGGATAATATACTTCTATGAGGAAAAGGTAGCTAGATACATATGTAAGATTAAATGTGTTAAACTTACCAAAATCAGAAGAACTCATCTGTACTAGGTTTTCCAGTCTGTATATCTGTTGCCTAATTAAAGGAACACAAAGGTTTATGGTACTTATATAGGTAAAAAGAGTTGTTTAACTACAAGTTGTTTAACTACATTTTAGTAAGATCTAAAGAGAACAGACAAAGGTTAGAGGTGTTTCTTGCTTTGTATTTCTGAAAAAGCTTTCAGATATGTAACTTAGGAAATAGTATTAGTGGAAGGCAACAGACACATCCAATTGTGAAGGCATGACAATGGATAGAATTTTTGCTTGTTTTTAAAACACTAAACAGAGTAACAACAAATACAAAATTAGGTAAATATCAGGAGAGGAAAACAAAACAACCAGACACACAAAACCTCTGAAAGTCATTCCCTGTAAGTGATCATTCCATAAGCACAACTCAACTTCATATTTGACCATGGAATAAACCTGAAAGTTAGCCCTCAGGGCATGCACTCAGTATGCACTAAATTAATTAACTTGTGAATGAACACTAGTAAATTGTCAGCAGCTTTTCCCACTTCATGCTTAGGGTGGGGTCTGCTGCTAAACTGGAGCACAAAAATAAACAGCAACAAATATAGTAAAGTAAAAGGACAAAGCATCCCTAGAAAAGTTAAAACTCAGTTCAGTTCTGGAGGGGAGGCGTTTTTAAAGAAGCTGCTAACTGCCACTGGAAATAAAAATTTTAAAAAGCTGTAACATAGGTAAGTACTCAGCCATACTCTGCAACAACTGTTATTTTCAAGTGGTCTTCAAGTCTAGTCTCCACAGAGATAATGTGGTACTAAACTGAACACATGAAAAGTGCAACTGTGTAAGAGACTTTTGAAAGAATATGCTGCATAAATTGAGGAAGGAGATCTCTGCCTCATTTCTTGTAGTCAAAGCAGCAACTACTGAAGGATTCAAAAACAGGATATTTGGATCCAACCCAGACCAAATGTTCTTATGAAAAAACAAACTAAAATCTAGGAAGTGCCCACAGGGATCCAAAAACCCAGGTTGTAACCTGCATATTAAAGAGCAGGCACACACTAAAATAATCTCTCTTAGCTCTTCCTTCCTTGGATAAACTCATGTCAGTTACCCAAGGTTACCTTCAGCCATTTAGATGGGTTGTTGGGTTTTTTGTTTGGTTTGTTTTGAAATCAAAGCTGAATTTCTGCATTAATTTTTCAAGTATTTCAACCATGCAGAAAGGAAGGAAGTCTCAAGCAGAAGGACTCTGTAAAAGAAGGCTGCTGGGGCAGAAGGTTACCAAGAGAACGTCAGAAAGGAGACACACAGAAAAAAAAAAAAGAGACTGCTGAATTGACAAAGGACAAAATACAGTGGGCTGAGAAAGTAAAAGCACAAACTGAGTATGAGAAGTCTAACAAAGACATAATGAGTTAAATAATTAATTTTCATTTTAATTTGCATTTGTACCTCAAAGACTGATCCTTATGGTTGTTGATCATTAAATCATTTAATTTGCAAATAAATATTTGGTCAGTTAAACTGGTACTTCTGTTTATTAATCAAAGATATTGTCTTAATATACCCACTTAAATGGTTACATAGCTCTTCCTCACTTTGACACTTCTTCAATCACATAAAAAAACAGGTAAGAATTATTTTTATTGTGCAATTAATGCTTTTAACTTGCAGTTTTGCTGTATATTATTTATTACAATATTTTAAAATATTAAACAATAATCTTTAATATTTACAGACACATTAAAAAAACCTAGGTTTCTGTAAGCATGTATTTAAACATAGATATTATCTGTACTTCAGAAATTGAACTATTTACAATCACCTTGTCCTCAAGAATCACCATAACTTGTACTTAACACATAAAATTTCTACAACTGAAAAGAAGTTTTCCTACTTTCCATTGTCAACTAGTCTATAAATGAAAGTGTTCCATTTTATGAGTAAACAAATGAACAGAAAGGGAGAATATCTTTGCAGAGGGACTTGTCACACCAAAAGACAACTTATAGCTGAGAGTTCGCTGAAATCCATTCCTACCAGTTCATAGGTTTTAAAACACGTATAGCTTGAATAATTTAAAGACCACAACAAAATATACTATGGCTTATGTTCATCTCTATTACAATTACAGAGCAGTTTCTATTACAGAAGAAAAACTGATTTAATTCAAGAGATCAACTACATCACTGTCTCACTGCCCAGTTATTTCACATTAATAAACAGTCAACAAACAGATCAGACAATGCTGCAATGAATACAGTGTTTCTTTTGGCTAAGTTATCCTCCTATCTCCTTCATTATCTGTTTTTTTTAACATTTTTTTTTAAATCACAGTGAAGTCAAACCTTGCATCAAACAATCAAAGCTAATTAATACTGGTTTTAATATACCTCCTGCCATCTATGCCGTCATGTTTCAATAAACCAGACCCTATTATAATGTTTCACATCATGCCCTTGGTCATACCCCAAAGGGATGGAAGAATCCACTCCAATCAAAGGAATGATGGAATATATCACATGTATTTGCGGAATCATACAAAAGCTCCTCTCCCATCCGCTCTCCGTATGTGCTGTACATCCTGAGGATTATCAGTAGCAAAGAGGATTATCGGTGATCTGTGTATTTGCATTGACCAGATTAAAACGTCTACATTGAATTAGTCAAACACTGAGTAACTGTATCTGAAGAGATTGCTGCAGCTATCCTAATCCAAACAATTGAAGAAAGTGCTGCATCCAGCATTTACAGTATTTGATTTTTAACCTTTTCTTTATGGACAAAAAAAGGACTTAAAATCTTCAAAAGACAACTTTAATTATATGAGTAGCACAATCTCATTTAAGGAAATCTTATATAGTTAATTCATATATTCTGAAGCTAGAGCTTCAGCGTTGTGATTAATTATACTTATCAATTTTTATCTGGTGATGGCTAAGATACACATCACAGTGCTTAGAAATGTATTATGAAGTCACATAATATTAAAAATGTGACACTAAATTTACTTATTCCTGTAATTCCATCTGTGTCTTATCCATCACATACTGGAGTGTTATAGCCAGCATAATCTTTTTGGATGCACTGCATAGCCTACAGTCTTTTATGATTTTACTATGAAAAACTTCTAAAGTTTGTTACATCCTTCAGGTGTGTATAATTACAGAAGTGGATTAATTATAAAATACACTAACATTATCATACCTAAGTAATCCAAAGAGAAGTCCACAGGATTCAACTAATGCCATTTCAGTAACCCACTGAAAGCCAAACATTTCCACTACATCTTCCTCATAGTCATTTGGAGAAGGATCTAGTCTCAGCAAAACCCTGTAAAGTAGAGCCAACAATATTCATACACTCCTCAGTAATAAACCTATAGAATACAATATCTACAGCTGCCTTATGCACTATTGATGTTTTATCAATGTATCAGCAACATGCATACTATAGATAGGAAGGAGCAGAAGTGCTCTCAAAAGACAAGCTGTTACATCTTTTACAGTAATATAACATATAGCACATAAAATACGACAACTCCTACCTTCAAGAGCATAAAAACATTATATAGTCACAGCACACAGTATATTTTAGAAACAAATAAAATTAACAAGCTACCACCTTGAAGCATCTTATTCTCACAAAGAGGCTGAGACATAACATAGAGACTGTCCTTAACAGAAGAGGCTGCTACCTTAGATAACATGCTCCATGGTAAGTATATGTTTGGAATCTGTCTCAATGTACACTACACGCCTAATAACTAATGCTAGAACATACATTTGCTCCTTTATATACATTTACTAATGTTTATATAGAACAAATTGATAAAAGAACATCAATAAAAACACATTTTTAGGCAGGTGAACTGATGAGGGTCACAAAACGTGACTTCATTACTACTTAAACTAACACTAAGGCACGACTACCCTTTGCTCTGGTTTAAGAAAAAATAAATAAAATTAGAACTACCATTTTACTCAAAGTGGAGAAAATTAGACATCTGTATAATTGTTAAAACGCTACTAATTGTGCAAATATAAAAATGCTTCACTAATGGTTTTCAATAAAAATTACAGCAAGCTGTATAATAACAACAACAACAAAAAAGGCATCAAAGCAAATTATTTCAGAATTTTCCCACTGCCTTTCATAAAATACTTGAGCATAGATGAAGCCAAATTCACTAATATGCAAGAAATATTTCTATTTTTAAAAATAAAAAAATGTACTGGGCAAGCACTTGGTTTTCATTATATTACACACCAAATCCACATTCTTCTTGAACTATGCACTATTACCAATTCAGTTCTCAGAGGCAAAAAGAGCATCTGCTGAATAATCAGCTCAGTCTCCCATAACATCTGTAGTTCACCTGGAAACCACTTAAACACTGGTCTGCTTTGAAGCCTTTAGCAATTAAATCCAGTTACTCCTATTGTAGACAATGATGACAGAGGATGCCCTCACATGCAGGCTTTTCCAGGAATTTACAACCCAAGCAGACAAGGTGAATAATCACCATGAGAACAGTATTATCATGACTGTAGTGATCTGGGAAACCTGTCTACATACAAACTCCAGAGTGAGACTGGAAAAATCGGTGGAGTGAGACTGGAAAAATCAGTGCTCCAACCTCCTCAGAAATACAAGGGGTCTCAGATGCTGTTGCCCAACAGGCCAGTTTTGGAGTGTCCTTACAGGCCTGTAACAAGTCCTTTACAATATCTTAAAGTAAGTTCACAAAGTTAGGAACTGGACCTCTAACACTGTTCAAAGCAGTGTATAAACACTTGCCCTTCCCACTGTGGTGTACCACCAAGTTGATCTCAGGATCATAAGAGCTGAGGAACAAACTGATTTGGAAACCCTATCAACATTTAGAGGCGCCAAACACCAGAGGAAAAAACATCTTACACAGGTTTTATATCTGTAACTCAGAAAACCCCATACCTCTTAAGAGACCCACTTGCTAAATAAGACTCTGCAGAGAAGCTTCTCCCTCCATTTTGGTTGTCAAAAGCACAGGAAAAACAAGGCAGCTTTGAGTTCTCATTCTCCACTTCCATTGCCATCTCCAAGCTTTCAGTGAGAAATGAGGGTGTGGAGGAAGCCACAAAGTCATCGTCCATTGTTTCCACCTGATCCAGAAGATATAAGTTTATACAGATAAATTAAAGAACACACCTGGTGTTTCTTCAAACAAATTTCTCATTGTTAGAACTCCCCATAATCCTTCATCTCAAGTGAGGACACAGATCTGACTAACTGTAAGATCAAACTAACAAAGAGATATACCGCCAAGAAAGGCAACCACGGTCTCATGCCCTGCCACACAATTCTGCCACTTTGTGCAGCTTCATCTTCCTCCATCACAACCTGTTCAAGGAGCTACACCAGTGACTACAAAAAACAAAATAGGTTAGAGATTAGGAGAAAGTTTTTCACCCAAAGGGTAGTGGCACACTGGAACAGGTTGCCCAGGGAGGTCGTGGATGCCCCATCCCTGGAGGCATTCAAGGCCAGGCTGGATGTGGCTCTGAGCAGCCTGGTCTAGTGGTTGGCGGGCCTGCATATGCCAGGGGGGTTGAAACTAGATGATCACTATGGTCCTTTTCAACCCAGGCCATTCTATGATTCTATGATTCATTCTCTTCTGGTTTAGCTAACTAAATTGACTAGTCATGAGGTTAGACTAGCACTAGGGTACAATAAGAAGCAGGAATATATTACAAGGAACAGATAAGATACTTTCAGAAACACTTTTACGACCAGCGTAGCTATGCTATGAAAATACACCATGCGTTACAGGCTCCCAGTTGTCCATGACTTCAAGGCAACATTACAGCTCAGATTCCTTCTAAGCAGCAGTAAATACACCCCACGTGATAATTATGGAACCCTGAAATGCTGACTTTTTATAGCTCAGAAAGTGACTGCATGGCTGATTCTAACATGGCTAAAGTTGAACGTTTCTATTAAAAACACCTGACTGAAAAAAGGGAAACAAAAGCAGAATGAAGATCGTGTCCAAAAGGAGTTCACTGTATACTTAACATTAGTGAATTAATATTTTTTACAACATACTGAAAGAATAAAACTAGGCAACAGGTGCCACAGAGTTCTACAATAATATGCAAATAATATAATTAAAACTCAATTAAATTTTCAATTTCAGTGCTGGCAGTTTTTCATACTGTTCTTACAGAAACCAGTTTACACCGTGGTACAGGTTGGTAATACTGAGGCTTGACTGAAAATGAGCTCAAGGAAAAATAAAATAAAACCGTCTATGTGTCCTACTTTCCCCATTCATTCACATGCTGAGGTGCAGCCAGCCAAAAAAAGCAAAAATCAAAAAAAAGCAGTGCAACCCTGCAGTGAAAGGATGGCTTCAGCCTTCAGTTTACAGCGGGACCCCGTGTAAAGGTGTGTTAGTCCAACACGAGGCAGAAACCAGCAGCTAAAGGGAATGCCCTAAACCATAAGGAGAGTCTGTCCAATTTAGGGTATTAAAATCACCCCACACGATAGAAAACACTGGGGGAAAAGTACAAAACGGGCAGCTCCTCACGGCCGCAACTCGTGACGGTTCTATCACACCCTGACCAGCGCAACCAGTGACTGACTCCAAG